CTGGTGAGGATGCGGAGAGAAAGGAAACCTTGGGCACTGCTGGTGGGAATGTAGACTGGTGCAGCCACTGTGGAGAACGGTATGGAGTTTCCTCAAAAAACTAAAAATGGAACTCCCATTTGACCCAGTAATTCCACTTCTAGGAATATATTCCAAGAAATTAGAAACACCAATCAGAAAGGATATATGCACCCCTATGTTTATAGCAGCAAAATTTACAATAGCTAAGATTTGGAAACAACCTAAGTGCCCATCAGCAGATGAGTGGATTAGAAAACTGTGGTACATCTAAACAATGGAATACTACGCTGCTGTAAAAAAGAAGGAATTCTTACCATTTGCAACAGCATGGATGGAACTGGAGAGGATTATGCTAAGCAAAATAAGCCAGTCAGAGAAAAATAAATATCACATGATCTCACTCATTTGTGGAATATAATGAACAACATAAACTGATGAACAAAAACAGATCCAGAGACAGAGAAGCATTGATTAGACCGTCAAACCTCAGAGGGAAGGTAGGGCAGAGTGGGGGTAAGGGGCAGAGATCAAACAAAGGACTTGTATGCATGCATATAAGCTTAACCAATGGACATAGACACCAGGGGGGTGAGGGCATGAGCGGGGTGGGGGGGGCACACAGGGGATAAGGACACACCCCCCCGCGGGGGGGGGGGGGGGGGGGGGCGGCCAGTGGCCATTGAGAGCAGGCAGTGTGAGTCGCCTGGTGGAATGCTTGCTTCATCCCCACGGCGACGAAGCAAGCATTCCGCACCCAGCCGTGGATGGGCCTCTGGCCAGCCAGGGCTCGGAATGCTTGCATACAAAGAGAAGGAACTGGCAAGCTGAGCAGAGTCGAGTGGCCCCCGACTCCCGGGTTAGGTCAAGTCCGGGTGGCCAGAGGGTGGAGGGGGTGGAGGATAGTGTGACAGGAGGGGCTGGTGGCGGAGGCACAGGGTGAAAGCTGGACGAGAAAGAGGAAGGAAGCCCTTTATTGGAATTCCTGAGAACAGGGAGGGAAGTCGTTTGCATTTCCCAGCCACGGATGGGCCTCTGGGCCGTGGATAGCTTCTGGGCAGTGGGCACGGAGGGGTCAGGCCCCGCAGAGAGCTACTAGTACCTTAATAATAAAGAAAATAAGGAAAGGAAGGAAGGAAGGAAGGAAGGAAGGAAGGAAGGAAGGAAGGAAGGAAGGAAGGAAAAGAAAAGAAAAAGAAGAAAGGAAGGAAGGAAGGAAGGAAGGAAAAGAAAAGAAAAAGAAGAAAGAAAGAAAGGAAGGAAGAAAAAGAAAAGAAAAAGAAGAAAGAAAGAAAGAAAGAAAGAAAGAAAGAAAGAAAGAAAGGGAACACCAGGCAAGAGTGATCTTAAATGTGAATGAAAGGTGATAAAACATTCAATTTTGGTGTAAATAAATGTGAAATGTTTAAAAAAAAGACTATGTTATTTATTCACCTTTTTTTTTCAGTTAAAATAATAGGGAGCCCTAGCTGGTTTGGCTCAGTGGATAGAGTGTCAGCCTGCAGACTGAAGGGTCTGGGTTTGAGTCTGGTCAAGGGCACAGGCCAGGGTTGTGGACTCAATCCCTAGTAGGGGGAGTGCAGGAAGAAGCCAATGAATGATTCTCTCTCATCATTGATATTTCCACCTCTCTCCCTCTCCCTTCCTCTCTGAAATCAATAAAAAAAATATTTGTAAAAAATGGAGAAAATAAAAACAACTTAAGAACTATGTCATTATTTTCATTCCTATTATTCTATTTCAAGTCACTATAATTTATTACCGGGACTGTCGCAAGGCCTTATAATTGGTTTCAATGTACTCTGGTTAATTCTAGTCAGCCAACCTTTCAGACCTCACGGACCACCGGTTGGCGACCGCTATATGTAGTCTATATTCTATGCAACAGACAAATTAATAATTTAAATAAAAAATCATATTGCCCCTATGCTCAAAACCTTCCATAAGCTTTCCATTATACTTAAAGGAAAATTTGCAGTTTTCATCAGTTATTAGGCCCTAAGTAATCTGGGCCCAAACTATTCTCTTCGCATAATCCACTGGAGTTACTCTTGCTGCTAAACTCATGTCTACCTCAGGACCTTTGCAGTATTCCCATTGCCTACAAAACCCTTTCTTGAGATGTTCACAGGTCCTGCTCCCTCATCTTCTCAGAGGCCTTCCCTCACCTATAAATATAGATTCCTCTCTGTTGTTATTCTTTAAGCTCTTACCCTCATTCAACACTTCTACATATCATATATCTTATGTATTCATCTCTTAACTGTCTCCACTAAAGATGTAAGCTCCTAGATCAGTGGTTCTCAACCTTCTAGCCCTTTAAATACAGTTCCTCATGTTGTGACCCAACCATAAAATTATTTTCGTTGCTCCTTCATAACTGTAATGTTGCTACTGTTATGAATCGTAATGTAAATATCTGATATGCAGGATGGTCTTAGGCGACCCCTGTGAAAGGGTCATTCGACCGCCAAAGGGGTCGCGACCCACAGGTTGAGAACCACTGTCCTAGATGGCATTGTCTTTGTCTGGTTCATTACTATATACCATTCTACACAATAATGCCTGGTTTATAGTAGGTGCTTAATGAATATTTATTGAATAAATGCTAACTACCTATTAATAGTTCACTGGAATAAAATATAAATAGGAAAATAGAAAATAAATACATACTCCTTCTAATCAGAGACATGCATTTATAGATCTGTAAAATCTCTTACAGTTCTTTTCAACCTGAGTTTTATTATTTGTCAGTATGTTATACTTTGAAAGTGAGGCTGTTGTTTATGACTAAGCCATACAAACTTGTAATGCTTTTGCTAAAACAAGACATTCTTTCTCAAACTGCTACAAGCCAAACTGATCTATCCCAGATGGCTTCTATTTCCCAGAAGTCAATGGTAAAACAGTAACTAGAGGCCGGGCGCACAAAAATTTGTGCACTCGGAGGGGTCCCTAAGCCCGACCTATGCCCTCTTGCAGTCTGGGACCCCTCGGAGGATGTCCACCTGCTGGCTTAGGCCCGCTCCCTGGGGGATCGGGCCCAAGCTGGCAGTCAGACATCTCTCTGGCAACC